CAGTGGAGCCTTCGGTGAAGCTCCCTATGGGGCAGCGAACCGTGTGAGGGGTGTGCCGAATTGGACGGGGGGGCGCATGTGGACGGTGGCAATGATGCCATCGGTGGAGTTCGCTATAGTGCCACGAAACGTGTGAGGGGTGTGCCGAATTGGGCGGGGGAGACGCATGTGGACGGCGGCACTGGGGCCTTCGGTGGAGCTCCCTATGGGGCCACGAAACGTGTGAGAGTGTGCCGAATTGGGCGGGGGGACGCACGTGGACGGCGGGCGTTCGGCGGAGTTCCCTATGAGGCCACGAACCGCATGAGGTGTGTCGAAATGGGCGGTGGTGGTGTTGATGATGGCGATGATGATGATCGCGGTGATGATTATGGATACGGGGGAGGGAGGGGGCAGCGGAAGGGTGGAGACGCGGGGCACCGTCTCTTCAAAACGATGACCCAACACCACAGGATGGCTGAAAATTAGCCTGGCGAAGGACCCAGCCATATGCAATTGTGAGTACCGCAGTTGTGAGTATCGTATTCGGTTGAGCTCCCTGTGTGGCAACGAACTGTGCGAGGGGTCTGCCAAAGTGGCGGTGGTGGCGGGGGGGGCGCATGCGAGCCTTCGGTGGAGCTCCCTATGGGGCCACGAAGCGCGTGAGGGGTGTGCCGAAATGAGCGCGGGGGAGGCATGCGGACGCAGCCACTGAGGCAACGAAGCGTGTGAGGGGTGTGCCAAGGTGGGTTGGCGGCAGCATGCGAGGTCTGCCACTGAGGCATTCGGTGGGGCTCCCTATGGGGCCACGAAACGTGTGAGGTATGTGTGCGTGTGCCAAAATGAGGTGGCGGCGGCGTGCAAGATCTGCCACTGGTGCCTTCAGTGGGGCTCCCATATGGGGGCACGAAGCGTGCGAGGCGCGTGCCAAAGTGGGTTGGCGGCGGCATGTGAGGTCTGCCACTGGTGCCTCCGGTGGAGCTCCCTATGGGTCAGCGAAGCGCGTGAGGGGTGTGCCAAAGTGACGCCTGTGCTGGTGCAGACACTGAGTGACGCTTCGCGTATCCCCGCCAGCCAATCCACGAACGGCGCCCAGGCGCGTTGAGGTGATCAGGAAGTGCGGGAGCAAAGAAGGGGATCTCCGAGGAGAGGGAGGCTGGATGGACGAGGGAGAGGGGAGAGGGATGATGCATAGGATGATGAGGAAGAGAAGGAAGAGTAGGAGGAGAAGGATGAGGCAATCGTGGGACCCTCTTGTGGCCATCTTGGAGACGTCTTGGTGCCCTCTCGGGCCCCTCCAAAGGCTTTCAAAGGGCCCCCGGATGGCCCCGAGACCTCTCCAAGAGGGCCCCAAGAGAACCCCAAGAGGGCCCCAATTCGCGCCCCCACAGAGCCACCCCAATTGGAGCCCCCACAGAGCCAACCAAGTCCCAAAACAAAATGTTTTATTGTTTGGGGTTCCGCGTGGCACATCCAAAACAACATGTTATGTGTTGGGGTTCCGCGTCTGAGGTTCCCTCTGGGACTCCTCCAGTGCCCCTCTTGGGCCCTCTTGGAATCCTCTCGCCCCCCCCCTGGGACCTCCTGGGGCCATCCTGGGTGCCTTCTGGGACCTCTTGGGAAGCCCACAACGGAACGCACGAGTGGCAACTCCCAAAACACATGTTTATGTGTTGTTGTTCCGCGTGATAAATACCACGCCATCATTTATGTTTTGGGGTTCCGCGTCTGGGGCCCCGTCTTGGAACCCTATTGGGGCCCTCCTGGGACCTCCTGGGGCTCTCTTGGGGGCCTCCTGGGACCTCTTGGGGGGGGGGCTCTCGTGGGGGCCTCATGGGGCCTCCTGGGGATCTCTTGGGGGCCTCATGGGGGCTCTCTTGGGGCGTCTGGTGATGAAAGTGACGATGATGATGGCGACTATGATGATGATCCCGATGCTGGTGCGATGCTGGCGATGACGACGACAGTGAGCATGCTGATGATGACGATCATGATTATGATCATGATGACGATGATGCGAGGAGGGAGGAGGGCAGCGGGAGGTGGGAACGCGGGGCGCTGTCTCTTCAAAACGAGGACTCAACACCAAAGGATGGCTGGGAAAAGCCGACGAAACACCGCTCGAAAACACTCCGCGAAACACCCCGCGACAAACCCCGCGAAACAAAAACACCCCGCGAACCACCGCGCGAAGAGCGCACCACGAAACACAACACGAAACACACCACGAAAAAACACCCCACGAAACACCGCGCGAAATACCCTTCCGAACAACCTTCCACGACACACCGCACAAAACACCTTACGAACACAACGCGCACAACAGAAACCACCGCACGAAAACACCACCAAAACACTCCGCGAAACACCCCACGGAACACCCCGCGAAACACAAAATGAAAACCATCCCACGAAACACCGCATGAAAAACAACGCACCACGCGAAACACCCATCGAAAAACACCCCGCGACAAAAACACCCCACGACACGCCCCACGGAAAAAATCAACGAACCACAACACGAAACCATCACACGAAACACCCAACGAAATACACCACGAAACACAACCACGAAAC